TTTGTAAGCCCCAGTACCTCAGAATATGACTGTATTTGGAGACATAGCCTTTAGAAAGGTGATTAAAGTAAAATTAGGCTGTAGGGTGTGGCCCTAATCCAATATGCCTAGGGCCCCTTTAAGAATAGGAAGAGACACCAGCAATGCACACATCAAGAGAAAAGGCCATGTAAGGACATAGCAAGAAGGTAGCTAACTGCAAGCCAAGGAAAGATGGTTCAGAAGAAACCAAATCTGCTGACACTGTGATCTCGGGCTTTCAGCTTCCAGAACTGTGAGAAAATAAATTTCTGTTGTTTAAGCCAACCAGTTTGTGGTATTTTGTTATGGCAGCCGTGGCAATCTAACATACTTTCCCACATTAGATCCTAAACATAGAAAAATAAAACTCTCAAGCTATCTTTTACGTGTTAGTGAAATATCTTTGAGATTTCCCAAAGAGGATGTGGAGAATCACAAAGATTTATTCTTTCAACATATAAGAACAGATGCTGGAAATAATCAGGTTTGTTTGATGTGTTACTATTATAAAAGCTGCATGGGAAGAGTTGTCAAATCATAAGATATTCAACTTTCTCTAGGTTAAATTTATATGGTAAAATGTAATTAATAAAACATTGCAAAAATTATTTATGTAAAGTTCCTGGATATTCATCAATGTTCTTGCTTTCTACATGTTTAAGTACGAAGGTAAACACTATTCAAAACTCTTACAAAACAGCTGTCAAGCTCACCTATATTTATCAAAGTTCTGGTGGTACAGTGATGTCAATCCTAATTTATTACTGAGTTGTTATTTTACATGTTTTCTGGTACAGTCTTACTGCTTTAATTCACATCTACTATCTTCTAGGCCAGTGGTTTTCAAATGGGGTTTTATAAAAATACAGATGTCTAAACCTGATCTCTAACTTAATGAAACTCTTTACTTGATATTATGGTGTCATTCCTGGTACACTAATCTCCGGATTATCATGTTATATCTCAAGATTTTTTCACCTATAAAAAGGTATATTCACTCATATTTATAAATCAGATGTAAGAATCATTGATTTCTTTGAGAATAGGCTTAATCATCATCTTTAGAAACATTCTTGTCTAAAAGGCTTTTGGAATAGAGGCATACCTCGCTTATTGTGCTTCGCAGATACTGTAGTTTTGAAGGTTTATGGCAACCGTGTGTTGTCAGATGGTGGTTAGCACTTTTTAGCAATATTTTTTAGAAAGATAGATACATTGCTTAAAAAAAAAAGAAATAGTGCTACTGCACACTTAATGGACTACAGTATAGTATAAACATAACCCTTACATTTATATGTACCAGGAAACGAAAAAATTCATCTGATGAGCTTTACTGTGGTGGTCTGGAATCAAACTTGCAGTATCTCCAAGGTATGTCTGTAACATGTGTTCTGCATGTCACAGAAACAATCAAATTTCCTTGTCAGCTGTATTTATTATTATATATTTTTCCACCTGACAATTATCAGTAATAAATTAGCCACAGTTATTTTAAGCCTCTGTCATCTACTGATAGTTTCTGTTTTACTCTGATGCTTATCTGAAGGTTCTCCTATAAGCTATAGGCCACATTTTGTATTTTCAATAAAGGAAAACAGTCTCAGAGCCCTGTGAAAATGACTGTACAAGGTACTTGAAACCACATATACTTCAAAGAAGAGATACTAGGGTACAGGCTTGAGGAGACATGGGCTTAAATAACTTCAGAAGACACCAGCGGACTGCAGTAGAATTTCTCATTTTTTTTTAAGCTGATAAGCAGCTTTATGAAACTGAAAGTTGAAGATCCATAATGTTTAACTTTGTTTTAATGTTCTGTTTTCTGGATATTTCTCCTTCTACCAGAGTTATCTAATTCATCTCAATTTCGTAAACTCTGCTTTGGTAAGCTAAAATGAAACGGTAAAAAACATTTCTCACTTCAGTTTGCCATTATCTCCCAAAAGGAGCTATACTTTCATCTGGGGTCCAGATTTTTGCAGCAGCCACCAGAACACCTCTAGGTCACCTGACCAGAGGGAACTTATGCTCAAGGGGGCCTAAAGGACTATAACCAATGGACAAAGAGTTCTTAACGGACTACCACCCAGGGCACAGCAAGAGGAAACAGAATGAGGGGCCCAATCTTTCTGCAAAAGAGGCTTATGAGCTTATCTAATATAACTCTGGCCTAAGAGGTAAGCTTCTAATTAAACCCACATCTCAGAGTCTACTGTGATTCTCTTAGAGACCTCAGAAGGACTTACTAGTCTGCACCTCTTTCATAATTGATTGAACAAATCAATTATGCAATCAGACCTTCCTGGAATGTATCTGAGAATGATGTTTATTGAATTAGATATGGCAAGTCATTTTAAGAAACAAAATTGGCTGTACTTATGGAGCTAATGTCTATGATGCCTCTGGTGTAGAAAAAGATTAACTCATCAGGTCTAGGACATTGTCATGAGATGAACTGTGTTCCCCCAAAATTCATATGTTGAAGTCCTTATCCCTAATACGTCAGAAAGTGATCTTTCTCAGAAGCAGGGTCACTGCAGATGTTAATTACTTAAGCTGAAGTTACACTTGAGTAGGGTGGCCTATTAATACAAAATGACTGGTGTCTTTACAAAAGGGTAAAATTTGGACAGAGATATGCTCAAAGAGTATACTATGTAAGGATGAAGGAGACCTACTAGCCAAGTAATATCAAAGATTGCCAGCAAACCACCAAAAGCTAGGATACATATGGAACAGATTCTTTCTTATAACCCTCAGAAGGAAACAACCCTGCCAACACCTTGATCTTGGACTTCTAGCCTCCAGAACTGAGTGTCAATAAATTTGTGTTGTTCAAGCCACTCAGTTTATGATATTTTGTTACAGCATTCCAGTTGTTCAAACTTTACACATTCTAAAGAAAGGTTTGAACTTTGCCCAGCTTCAAGAAGATAATCTCAAAGTCTTTGGAATATCCTGTTAAGACTGTCTTTGTTTACCTGTGGCCTTGAGGACACACCAGAAGTTTATACTAACAATGTGATTTATGGTGGAGGCTATGGGCTTAACTTTGAGAGGAGCCGAGTAAATTAAATTCACATTTAACTATTTCCTATCCTACACAGCTTTAGTGTAGAACAAAATAATTATCAACCATTATATATATTATATATATAAAATTGTAATAAAACATACATAACATAGAATTTACTGTTTTAACCACTTCAAAGTGACAATTCATGACATTAAGTAAATTCACAATGTTGTGCAAACTACCACTGTTATTTGTCTCCAGAACATTTTATCATCCCAAACAAAAACTTTGTACCCATTAAACAACTTCTCATTCTCTACTCCCTCCAATCCCTGGTAACCAGTGTTTTTCTGTCTCTATAAATTTGTTCTAGGTATCTCATATAAGAGGAATCATACAATAATTGTCCTTTTGTGTCAGGTTTCTTTCACCTAGCATAATGTTTTCAAAGATTTTCCACGTTGAAGCACGTATCAAAATTTCATTCCTTTTCATGGCTTAGTAATATTCAAATATATGTATGTACACCACATTTTTCTATCCATTCATCTGTTGATGGACACTTGAGTTGTTTACACCTTTTGGCTACTGTGAATCAACAATTTTTTAATGAAACTAAATTGTAGCAAAATTGCTAATTTTAAAACTCCATTTCCTTTCTCCCCTTTAATGAAAATAATCTCAAGGTATACAGTTTCAAGAGTGACAAAATGTATACCTAAGTGACTAAACTTAATAAACAGAAATACACAATTCCTTACAATATCTATGCTGACTTCAACTACAAAATATCTTTGTTAAGTTATTAACAGTGCCTTGTGGAAGAAACTGATATGATGATGAAACACCAACATGCTCCTAAAGACACAAGAAAAAGAACAATACTACTAAAATAAATGCAGGTTCCAAACCTAAGGGTAACTGGAAGAAAATGAAGCCATAACACAAAATCAAACCAAAAACAAGAAAAAAAAAGTGCCATATCCTGAATTTTGCTAAATATTAAGTATTAACTCAAGACAGTCTTTCAGCTACCAAAAAAAAAAAAACCCAAAAAACAAAAACTTCAAGGTTATTCATAATAAAAAGTTATAGAGCTTTTCAAATGTCAACCTTCATAGTATGTGCATCACTGAATGAAGTTTCAACTCAAGTTCCACAATTCAGAAAAATCCCAAAGAAAATCAAACAGATAAAAATAAATAAGAAAACAATTCTAAGGAATAGTTTAGGATGGTAAAGAAAATATTTTTAAAAGTACATTTTGGTTGCAGTATATTAAAGAAGTAAATGAGAAAATAGCATCTTAATACTTAAAACTGCTTAAGTAACAGTTTGAATTTAACTAGTAAATATCAATGAAAAAATAATGAGATCTATTGAAAGAATAACAGAAAAGAAAAATAGATAAATTATACATTTGGCTAAAGCAATATAAATATAAAAAGTAAATTTTAAATTTTTAATATTTTGAATAGTTAATATATTCATATGGCTTAAATTTCAAAAAATAAGAAAATGTTATACAATTTTAAAGTCTCATATATGCCCAAAAGAATTGAAAGCAGGGTCCTGAAGAGATATCTACCAAACACCCATGTTTATAACAGCATTACTCACAATAGTTAAAAGGTAGAAACAATGCAAATGTCCACCAGCAATTCACAGATAAACAAAATGTGGGATAAAAGTACACCTACTGTAACATGGATGAACCTTAAGGACATTATGCTAAGTTTATAAATAAGCCAATCATAAAAAAGACCAATACTGTACAATTCCACTTATAAGGTACTTAGAGTGAAGTCAAATTCACAGAAACACTGTAGCATGGTTGCCAGCTAGTGGGAAGAGTGAAGGGAGACCTGTTGTTTAATGAACACAGAGTTTTAGTTTTTCAAGATGAAAAGAGCTCTGGAGGTTAAGTGCACAACAATGTGAATGTACTTAACACTACTGAATTATGTACTTTAAAAATGGTTAAGTTCATAAATTTTGTTAGGTGAATTGTACCATAATTTAAAAAAAAAAAAAAAAACAGACACACTTCCTTCCCACTGGTATCTAGCAACCATCCAGTTCCCAAAATGCCCAACCGTCTGAAATCATTTTCATTATTTTATTTATCCTGCGTTTCCTTATGCATGTATAAGCAAACACAAACAAACTAAGCAACCACAAACGGTGTTCCATTACTTGCTATTTTCACTGAACAATGCAGCTTGAAATTCTTTCATTTTAAACACAGAAAAGTTTATCTCTTAAGAGCTATGTTTTAACAGTAACTTTAATGTTTGTAGCAAAGATTTAACATAAAAGAACTTACCAAAATCTGGAGGACATTGCGCATTATATGGAAACCAATTTCCTTTCACAGTGAAAGGACTTTTTCTGTTGCTTGTTGAGCCAGTTCCTAGTTGTCCATTACCACCAAGTCCAAAAGAATAAATTCGTCCTGATGAAGGAACAAAAGCAGAAGTGTGCTGCCTAGAGTAAAATGATAGAAAATCTCAGACTTAAGGTTACTTTTAATTTACATTTAGAAAAGCATAGCAAATATTACCTATATAATTTTTGTCTTCAAAAAGAAATAATACCATTACAATTCTAAAATTTTCTGTACACATTGTTTATAATAGCCTTCCTCTGTACTGAATGAATTCTGTATCGCACAGGCAGATTGTATAAGCATGGTCTAGAAAATTCCCAAGATCAAGCTTTAAAAGGCCCAGAGCTATACTGGAATAGACAGACGATTACAATAGACGATTCAGCTCTAGAAGTAGCATCTAGCTGTCCAATCAAGTTCTCCACCCACTTCCCTCTCTGTCAGGTTCTGGGCATCACTCAAACGTTTTAGGATAAGAACTGAGTATATAAAAATGCATGATAAAACAATATTTCCTTTCTAAAGGAAAGGTGAAAGACAAGAGTCTGCCACCTGCAGATCTACTTAAAGATAATTCCAGAGAGTGGTCAGATAAAAGGAAAATGATACTACTTGGAAAAATGAAGAGGGAAAAAAAGGTAGTAAATGTATGTAGATGTATTTCTAAAGGTATACTGACTATATAAAACAATGTTCTTGTGGCGTTTAAAAATATATACAGAATGAAAAGTTGGGAAAGGTAAATGGAGGTCTTACAACTCCTGGAGGAAGGGAATAAGTATTAATATAAGTTAAAGATTAATGTTGTTATTTCTAGAGTAACAATTTTAAGTTTCCAAATTTCCAAAGGATTAGAGGGAATAAAACTGACTTAAAAAATTATCAATCTAAAGAAAGGCAAAAAAGAAAAGGAAGAAAATGAAAACAGGTAGTAGCACAAACAGTACAAAACAGAATGGCAGGTTTAAACCCAAATATACTAGTAACTATAAAAAAACAAAACAAAAGGGACATAATGGTCCATTTAAAAGACAGAGATTGAAATTATATATCTAAAAATAAATAAGTAAAAATATATTTAAAGCAGGTGTACCACTAGTCACATCAAATAAAACAGACTTTAAGGAAATACGAAATGTTACTAGAGATCTAGAGGATCACCATCACAATGACAAAGGGTTTAATTCACCAAAAAGAGATGAAATTTAAATTTTATGCACTTAAGCACACAGCTTCAAAAGTAAAAACTGACACACAGAGTTACCATGTTATTAGGTTCAAATGTCCAGTTTTCAAAAAGAAAAAAAATCACAAGGAATGCTAAGAAATTGGAAAGTATGGCCCACTCAGGGAAAAAAAAAACTAACTGGGAATGCAAATACAGCCACTCTGCAAGGCAGTTTAGTGGTTTCTTACAAAACTAAACATACCGTTACCATAAATTTCAGCAACTGTGCTCCGTATTATATATTCAAAGGAGTTAAAAACTAGTGTCCACACAAAAACTTGCACATAGATGTTATAAGCAGCTTTATTCATAACTGTCAAACCCTGGAAGCAACCAAGATGTCCAGCAGGTGAATGCATAAACAAACTGGTACATCCAGAGAAAGCAGTATTATTCAGTGCTAAAAAGAAATTAGCAATCAAGCCATGAAAAATCATGTAGGAACCATAAATGAATATCACCAAGTGAAAGAAGACAATCTGAGAAGGCTATACATTATGTGATTCCAACTATATGACATTCCGGAAAAGGTAAAGCTTTGAGAGTAAAAATCAGTGATTGCAAAGGGTTGGTGGGGGGATGGACAGGGGAACACAGGGGATTTTTAGGGCAGTGAAATTACTCTATGATAGTATAATGGTGGGTATAAATCATTATACATTTGTCCAAACCCACAGAATGAACCCTCACGTTTACTACATTACACCTGTAATGATTTTTCAATGTATAGATAAAAGAAATTTTTACATGTTGAGTGAGATACAGGGAAGTCATTCTGGCTTACACATAAGTTAACTTGAGTTTTCAGCTAACTCAAACAGCCTGTTTGTGACTTTTCAAACATACACTGTTCACATGACTTAATTGTTAAACAAAAGGGCACACTGACCACAAGTAAAGAAATGTTCATGTTAAAAATAAAGATTAAATGCCTCCCTCCTGGGATGCCAATGGTGGTGTATCTTTCATGATAAAATTCTCTTCCCAGGTGCCAAGGCCATATGAACTCACAGTGTAAATTGCTGATCTGTTTTTTTTTTTTTCTTGAAATCCTGAAGGAATGTATGTATCCCTGACTTGTTTAATGTTTAACCTGACTTGTTTAATCTGATAAGATACAAAACTATGCTGAAAACCATGCTTCTCTGGAGCAATTCCTCAGAGTTATATGAAAGGCTGTCTTCTGGTTAAAATGAAAGGACACTAGACAGTAACTTGAAACTATATGAAAAACTAAAGATCTCTGTAAAGGTAAATACATGGGTGGGTATAAAAGGTAATATTATTGTAACTTTGTTTTGTTTTCTCTAACTTTTGTTTTCTATAGAATTCAAGAGACTAAAGCATTAAATTATTAATTTATGTTTTTGGACACACAATATATACAAAAGTTATCTTGTGACACTAATAACTGAAAGGGGGTAGGTACAGAGCTGTATAGGAACAGTTTTTGTATGTTATTGAAGTTAACATGGTCTAAATTTGAGTTAAGAGTGTTGTAACTTTAGGATAGTAAATGTAATCCCCACGGTAACCACAAAAATAAAAATCACTAAAGAACATACCAAAAAGGAAATGAGAAGGAAACTAAAACATTTCACTGCAAAAAATAAACACGAAAGAAGACAGTAATGCAAGAAATCAGGAACAAAAAAGTATAAGGCATACAGAAAGCAAATACATAAAAGATATACAATGAAACCTACAAAACATTACTAAAGAAATTAAAGAAGACATAAATAAATGGAAAGACATCCCACGTTTATAGACGAAAGACTTAATATTGTTCAGATGTCAATACTTCCAAAAGTGATCTACAGATGCAATGTAATCCCTATTAAATCATGGAACTGCAAATTAAAAGCCATGATTAAGTAACACAATATATCAAAGAGATTAGCAAAAATTTTTAAGTCTAATAATACCAAACGGTGACAAGGATACAGGAATTCTTATGTAATACTGATGGTAAGGTATACTGGAATAATCATTCTGGTAAATAGGGTGACATTAACCTGCAAAATTCTAGTTAAGCATACTCTATGACCCAGAAATTCCATTCCAGGTATACATTTTAGAAATATTAAAGTTTGCATATATAATATAATAAATGTTCAGAGTAACATTATTTATATTGCCAAAAAATAGAAATACTCAAGTGCCCACCTGTAATAGAATGAGTAAATAACTATATACACATATAATTGAGTAAAACACAACAATAAAAACTAATGAAGAATCACAGTTATACACATATGGATAATCAATCATACAGCATGATGTCAAAAAAAAAAAGTCACCAAATGCTACCTACAGTGTAATTCTTTGTATTTGAATTAACTATTGGAAAACTAAGCTATATTATGAAGATACATACTAGATGGAAAAAAATTAAGCTAAGTGGTCAAAATTGAGTTAATCAACCAACGGATATTTTGCTTCTGAGTCCATCAAAATTTAATCCACCAAAGGTGAAGCATAATTTCAAAGCTCTGACTCTTGTATTTACTCCCAAGAACTGGGAATCATGAGATCAGTATTCCAAATTCAGCTTTCACCACTAACTAATCTTTTGTGTTAAGTAATTAATTGGTCAATTTCTCTATTCTTTAGAAAGAAAAAAAGGTAGAAAAGCAAAGGAAAAAAATGATCTATAGTTTCCCTTCATGTCTGATGTTATATACAGTAAATTATATTTATTTAGTGCTAATATACAGTATTGCATTTACATTTTTTATTGAAGCAGTACTGCATTTACATTATTAATATCTTGCCTCAGATAAATTTGTTTCAAAGAAAGGAAGGTAAAATAATCAATATAAAAGATGCTTCTCCTGTTCCAATGATCCCTTAGCAGCAAATTAGGCATTTAGGAGAGAATGTTTTTTATTTTAGATTATTAGATTCATAATTCATTAGAAAAATCCCAACTTTCAGCTGGAACTACTATGTTCCAGTAATCTGCAAAAAATGACCAATACAAAGAGAAAGAGTACAGATACCCCTATAACTTCTCTAGGCTTTTTAGAAAACATTAAGTTGTTCCTTTAGCCACATTCATGCAAATCTTTAAGAAACATGATACTGTAGACACAAGGGAGTAGTCACTGTTCAAAAAGGAATACCCCACAAATGTTACCATGACAAACTGAAGGGTCTACAATGTTACCCTGCATACTACTGGCACTGTAGTAAACAAATAAATTAAGGGCAAGATTTCTTCTTGCAAAGAAAATTAATGTACATATTGAGCATATTAAGCACTCTTAAGAGCCAAGATAATCTTCCTGAAGATTGAAGGAAAATGACCAGGAAAAAAAAAGGAAGCCAAAGAGAAAGGTACTCAAGTTCAAATGAAGTACCAGCTTGTTCCACTGAGAGAAGCACACTTTGTAAGAAGCAACGGAAAGGAGCCTGAGCCACTGGAAGCCATTCTCTATGGATTTATGGCATAGCAGGTATTTAAAAAACCCTAAATAATCATATTATAGAGATCAAAATACTCTTCTACATAACAGCTTACCTTCCACAAGCAATCTGAGTGACAATGCTTCCCATAAGTTCAAAAACTTTCCTTGGGTTTATTTCATGACTGGTAGAGTTATGACCCAACTGACCATACCCTCCAGCTCCAAAAGTAAACACTCCACCTTCCTAAAAAAAAGATAAAACCCTTTGTTATTTGAAGGCCTGATAAAAGAAAATAAACTTCAGGAAAATAAGTTAAATCTTTTAATACAGAGTCAAATTTTCTCTTCTATTGTCTTCACAATTTAACAGATGATAGCTGACTTTTCAAGGTAAAATGTCTTAAACCCAAGAGTCCCAGGTTGATGACTAATTATTTTCACATATTCAAAAGTATTTAGTTATGTTCTCATCACTGCAAGATATTTAGTTGAAGTTATAATTAAATAGATAGTAATAATTATTTTTTGCATTCCCCTTTACTATCGTTACATCCTTGTTGAGTACCAAGTACAACTATAAAATTTCATAAAACCTAAAAATGGTATATTCACTTTCAGTTTTCAAAGTAGCTCTGCAAAAAGACAGTGCACAACTACAGCTATTCTTAGTATATAGTTACAATATAGACGGTCTTCAAGATATTACAAAAATACATAAGTTGATTAAAGATTATGTTCTTAAAAAGTAATTCCTGATTACTACAAGCATGATTGGTATTTTTCAATTCAACTGCTTTTCTTCATAGTTACAGCTATGTATACAAATATATGCTGTTAAATGATGAAGGTAGGAAATAAGTACTTATACAGATTGCTATGTAAGAAAATTGATTTTTCTGTTTAAAATTTTGTCATGGGAGATTTCAAACAAATGAACAAAACTAAAGACATATACCTATATACACACACACACATGCATACATATATATAAAATGTGATTATATATACGTAACTATCACTCAGTTTCAAGAACTGGCAACAGTTTGATATTTTTTGAAGTATTTTAAAGCAAAAAAATGGTACTGGAGTACTTTAAAGCAAACTGCGGTCATTAAGTCACTTCATTTATAAACGTGTATGTATCTTTTTTTATTTTTTTATTTTTTTAAATTTGTATTTTTTTATGAGTTATGATGTGTATGTATCTTTAATGGCATCTATTTCTAACAGATAAAAATAAGTAACACAATACTATTATCATAGTTACAAAAAACATTACTTCCCTTTTTTTGATAGAAAGGACAAAAGTATCCATTTTTATTTCTTTTTTTTTTCTAGTTTTGGCCTTATTCACTTGTACATATTCATTATTCACCGTACATATTTAAAGTGTACATGACTTGACATACATATAATCTGTGAAATGATTACCACTGTCAAGTTAACTAACACATCTATCACCTCAGATTTCTTTCTTTTTTTAGTTGAGAATGCTTCAGACCTAGTATCTATATATTTCAAGTATAGAATACAGTACTGTTAAACATGGTCATCATGCTGTACATTAGATCTTCAGAACTTAGTCATCTTTTAACAGAAGTTTTTATCTCATTTTCCTGCACCCCTAGATCATGGCAACTGCCATTCTACTCTTTGTTTTTATGAATTTGACTTTCTATTTTCTTTTTTTCCTTCATTTATTTTGTTTCACAATTTCATATGTGATACCATACAGTATCTGTCTTCGGCTTATTTCACTTAGCATAATGTTCTCCTGGGTCATTTATGTTGTCACAAACGGAAAGATTTTCCCTTTTTTATGGCTGAATAACATTCCGTCTGTGTATGCATGTACACATCACATTTCCCTATCCACCTGTCTAAAATGGACACTGAGGTTGTTTAAATATCTTGGCTATTATGAACAATGCTGCAATAAACATGGGAGTACAGTTATTATTTTGAGATTCTGTTTTCATTTCCTTCAGATATATACTCAAAAGTGGGATTGCTGGGACATGTAGTTCTATTTGCAACTTTTTGAAGAATCTCTATACTGTTTCCCACCCACCAGCAGTGTTCAGAGTCCCCCTTTTCTCCATATCCTTGTTAATATTTGCCTTTTATAAAAATTTTTTTTAAAAAATCTCGAGACAAATAAAAATGGAAACACATTACAAAACTTACGAGATGCAGCAGAAGCAGCTCTAAGAGGGAAGTTTATAGCAATAAACACTTCCATTAAGGGAAAAAAAAAATTCTTAACAGCCTAACGTTACACCTCAAGAAACTAGGGAAAACTGCAAACTAAGCCCAAAGTTAGCAGAAAGAAGGAGATTAAAAAGCTTAGAGCAGAAATAAATGAAGCAGAGACTTGGAAAACTTTAGAAGAAAATAACACAACAAAGAACTGTTTTTCTGAAAATATGTATTTTTTAACAGACAGATCTTTAGACTATGAAAAAAAAGATAGGTTCACTTCTGTGCTATCTAGTCTGTTTGATTGGTACATGTGTCTGTTTTTATGCCAGTATCATACTGCTTTAATTACTGTAACTTTGTAATATAATTTACAATCAAAAAAAGTGATGCCTCCACTTTTTCTTTCTCAAGATTATTCTGCCTATTCTGGGTCTTCTGTGATTCTATACAAATTGTAAGGTTGTTCTATTTCTGTGGAAAATGCCATTGGAATTTGGATAAGGATGGCATTGACTCTGTAGGTCACTTTGAGTAGTATAGACATTTTAACTATATTAATTCTTCTATTCTAAGAACAAGAGATATCTTACCACTTACTTCCGTCTTCTTCAATTTCTTTCACTGATACAGTTTTCAGTGTATAGGTCTTTCATCTGTTTTAGTGTACCTTTATTCCTGAGTATTTTATTGTTTTTGATGCTATTATAAACGAGACTGCTTCTTAATTTCTCTTCCAGAGAGTCTGTTTCTACCGTATAAAAATGCAACTTATTCTTGTATGTTAATTTTATATCCTGTAACTTCACTTCATTTGTTTACTGGTTCTAATGGATTTTTCATGGAGTCTTTAGGGTTTTCTATATATATCAGGTCATCTGCAAACAAGAGACAATTTTACTTTTTCCTTTCTAATTTGGATACTTTGTTTTTTCCCTTACCTAATTGCCCTGGCTAGAATTTCCAGTACTACCTTGAATACAAGTGGTGAGAGTAATAAGTATCCTGTCTTGTTCCTGATCTTAGAAGAAAACCTTTCAACTTTTCACCATTAAGTATTGTGTTAGTAGTGGGCTTGCCATAGATGACCTTTATTATGTTGAGGTATGTTCCCTCTAAACTCATGTTGTTGAGAGTTTTTATCATGAAAGGATGTTGAATTTTGTCAAATGCTTTTCCTGCAACTATTGTGCTGATCATACAATTTTTATCCTTCATTCTGTTAATATGGTGTTGTACACTGACTGATCTGCGAATGCTGAGCCAACCTTGCATCCTGGGGATAAGTCCCACTTGGTCATTGGATATATAATCATTTAAACGTCTGCTGAATTTAGTTTGCTAGTATTGAGGAGTTTTGTATTTATATTTATGAGGGATACTGGCTTATAATTTTCTTTCCTTGCAGTGTTTTTGGTATCAGGATAATGCTGGCCTCATAAAATAAGTTTAGAAATGTTCCCTCCACTTCTGTTTTTCATAGGAGTTTAATATGGACTGGTGTTAATTATTTTTTTCTCTGGTGGGAGATTTTTGATTACTTATTCAGTCTGCTTACTCTATCAAGGTATGTTCAGATTTTCTGCTTTTTTATGATTCAGTTTCAGTAGTTTGTATGCTTCTAGGAATATATCTGTTTCACCTAGGTTATTTGATAAAATTTGTTGGTAAGTAACTGTTGACAACAGTCTCTTACGAACCTTGTATTTCAGCAGTATCAGTTGTAATGTCTCCATTTCCTGAGTTTTTTTTTCTTAGTCTAGCTAAACATCTGTCCATTAAAAAAAAAAATCTTTTCAGAAAAACAGTTCTTAGTTGTGTTATTTTCTTCTAAAATTTTCCTAGTCTCTTATTTCATTTATTTCTGTTCTAAACTTTGTAATCTCCTTCTTTCTGCTGTGGGCTTAGTTTGCTGTTTTCCCTAGTTTCCTGAGGTACAAAGTTAGGCTGTTAGTTTTTCTCCCTTAATGAAGTGTTTATTGCTATAAAGTTCCCTCTTAGAGCTGCTTCTGCTGCATACAATAAGTTTTTGTTATGTTGTTTCCATTTTCCTTTGTCTCAAGACATTTTTTAATTTTCCTTTTATTTCTTCTTTGACTTAATGATTGTTCTGGAGTGTACTTTTTAATTTCCATGTATTTGTGAATTTTCCAGCTTTCTTCCTGTTGATGATTCCTGGTTTCATACTACTGTGGTTAGAAAACATATTTGTTATGATTTCAATTGTCTTATATTCGTTAAGACTTTATTTGATGATCTCTTCTGCAGAATGTTCCACTGTGTGCTTAAAAGGAATGTGTATTCTGCTACTGGCAGATAAAATTTTATGTATATGTCTTCTAGGTCCATTTGATATAAAGTGTACTTCGAGTCAAATATTTCCTTACTGATTTTCCATGTGGATAATCTATTCTTTGTTGAAAGTAAGGTATTTAAGTCCCCTACTATTATTACTGTGTTGCTACTTCTGTCTTCAGATCTGTTCATATTTGCTTAATATTTCTTAATATTTGCTGTGTTGGAAAAATATATAGGTACAATTGTTAAACCCTCTCAATGAGCTGACTTCTTTAATATTCATTTCTTTAATATTATTTAATATAGAGGTCATGTTTAAACTTTCCTGATTATTTTATTATATCATGTCAGAAAGTACATGTCTGATTGGTGATGTTAAAAATAAGTGGGTCAATGTGTTTCAGCCGCATCTATTTCCATTAAGGTTAATGTTGATCTTTGCTTAGATCCATTATTTCATTACGGAGTAGAAATTAAATGGAGATAATATGGAGATAGATTTTCTAATCTTATTATTTCTTCCAGATTCATTAGCTGAAATCCTTCCATAGGGCACTTAACTGATCAACTATTAAGTTACTCTAAAATACAATTTGCAAATAAGAGGCAGGTGAAATGCTTCTTCCTCATTTGCTGATTTTTAGAAAAATGAGTTGTCCTAGCAACCTAGAAAGATAAGCAATGAAGTTTGCTTTGTATTGATTTGGGTAAAAGGAGTATCATTATGAAATCACAGACTTTTATATACTTGGTATATTTCCATTTATTTCAGACATTATTTGTTAACCACTGAAAGCTCCTTCAAGTTGTCCTTCTTACATGATCTTATAGTACTCTTTGCTTTTCTGTAACACAACATGCCCAAAACATATTTTCATACTTTTTTTTTTTTTGCCCCAGATGTGGAATCAGTCTTCTCCAAGAAGCCCTGGTTCCTTTTAGTACAGAGTATACAACAATCAAGAGATGCTCATTGCTTCCAGATTGCACACGTTTAGTTACTTCTAGGAACTTTTAATTTAATTCCTACCATTTTATATCTGTTTTCTCTTAAGATGGAAAGCATAGCTTCTAATGACAGTAAAATAAGTACTTATTTGCTCTATCCTACTCCATAAGCAATATGCTGAAAATAACACAATCAATTTTACTAGTAACAATAAGACTACAGAACGCAGTTTAAGATCTCTTTCTGAATTCGGTTTATTTTTAGGCTATTTCCCATTAGTGAGATACAATAAAATATTGTATTTTAAAATGACTAAAAGAATTCTTTTCTCCATAGTGCTGCTACCTATCTTTTTGTTTTTAATTTTTAAGAATTACTTTAATATACAAGTTTTTAATTGTGTATAACAGTTTCTACGTTCCAAAGTCAAAACTATAAGGTAAGGTTCATTTGGTCTAGATACTAATTCTTTATAAATATAAACAACATGTAATATGTTTATATTTAACCTCTTCTTATACAAAAGGCAACTATTCTGTATCTTATTCTTTTTTACAACATATCCCAAAGATCATTCCACAACATAAAACACAGATCTTCCTCATTCTGTTCTACAGGTCATGGTACTCCACACAGTGGAGTTCCCAGTTTGTTTAACCAGGCTGCTACTGATGGGCATTTGGATTTTTTCTGTTCTTTTGTTATTAAAATACTACCACAATAAATGGCTTTGTGTATACATAATTTCTTATCTTTTGGATAGATTCTTAAAATTGCTAACGGATTGATAAGTCAAAAGGTGCATGTATATGTGATTTGCAGAGTGAATTGTAAAAAAAAACTTGAAAAAATTGATTTTTATAAAAAATTTTGACACAGTAGTGTCCTCATATCAATTAACATGCATATTTTTCCATTTATTCTGCTTTTAAAAGTTTGTTCTAAAATTTTTCCTCATATAATTTTTCTAATGTTTGTTTTGCACAGGGAAACTGCTTCATAAAGCAATCCTAATCTATTTGCAAGAAATTCTTCCAGAAAAGCAAAAGACATTGAGACAGAACCATATTCTAACTTACACCAAGGGAAAATAAAATATTTTACTTTTGAAATATTTAGAACTATCTGATTTTTGTTAAAAATTACATACATCAAAAATGCCAGTGAACAAGTATCACCAGCTACTGTTTTGAGAGAGGAAGACAGAAGGCTAACAGAATCAGCATTTTAGAAAAAACTTAATAAAGAGTTAGAAATCCTGGGAAAATAAGATGAGTGGTTATCTGAAAGACTGCATTTGAAATCATTAACATGTGAGTCTAGCACAAAGTTAGTCCTAAGGAATGATATTATACAAAATATTTTTCACCATTATATTCAACACAACCTTATTTCTTCTGAATACCAATGACAAAAGAGAATGACTAAAATTTTTAACTTGCCAACATGATTTTTTTTGTTGCTAAGTTACTCCATTTTGTTTCTTTTTTTTTAATTGAAGTATACTCAGTTTACAATGTTGTGTCAATATCTGGTGTACAGCATGTTTCAATCATACATATGCATACATATACTCACTGTCATATTCTTTTTAATTATAGGTTACTACAATATATTGAATATAGTGCCCTGTGTTATGAGGCCAACATGATTTAATAAGACTTTGGTGATTGCATTTGTAATCTGAATGATAAAAATCAATAAAATATGATAATAAGGTTGGCAGGTACAGTAAAACTTCCTTACACAAAGGGAAGTAACAAAATTAATGAAAATTTAAAATATTATGACCAATTACAAAAGTTAAAGTATCTTCAGTACACTATATTTGATGAGGATGAGAATAATTCTTATTCTAAAATTCCCAATGTGGGAGTAAGTGTGTAGAATTTTATAAATCTGATCAGAAGTCAATTTTTTCTTGGCAATTTTATCTACTATGCAGATAAAAGAAGTAAAAACATTAATTTTTAATTTAGCCAGTAACTTCCCAGTTCATTTATATTAACATGACTATAATAAGTAACTTTGCTGGTGATGGTTAATTTAATGTTTTTATTTTCATCTTACTTCTAATTGCTAGAGACACAGTGCTAATACTGAATTGGTACATACTCAAGAAAGTGAGAGGTCAGAGTTGGAACAAAACTGTGATGCAAGCTCATTATAACTGCTTGCATAATACTTGGCCTATGCATAATAGAGGGATTTAGTCTCCTCTATTACCTGCCATATTTATAAGCCACATGGGAGCTAAATTAAAATTAGGCAAAGTTATGCAATTTAAACAGGATTGATACACAAAGCGCAGCAAGCCTAACAAACTAAAAACGAATTATTTAATTCAAAGTATTATTTAAGCAGTATTTCACATGAAGCTGAAAAACTCAGTAATATATATTAACATCACATTTCATAGTAAATCACTTCACATTTCATAACATGAAACAAAGTTGAAAATTGAGGCAAACTGTTTTTGAGAATAGATAATCTGTCCATTTTTTCAAGATAATTCACTTTTTGGACATCAATAACATCCAAGTTTCAATGTAAATATCATGAAAACATTCACTAACCATAAAATAACTACAATGAGTAATAATAAAGAAGTTTTATGAGTACAATACCTTGGTTAGTGCAGCAGTATGATCTTCTCCACAACAAATATAAACTATTTTCTGAGTTCTTAGTGACTTTAGTAAATTAGGAACATACCTATCTGAAAATTTCAACAAGAGACATTAACAGTATTTTTAAAATTAAAACCCTTCCAAAATGCTTCTCTACAGCCTCCCAAACTCAGTAGACAGTGATGACTACATAATTTTTAACTACAATTCAATTATTTTGTAGTACAAGCCTACTAATTTGGGTTCCCAGGCCTTTCTATTCATGCTACTGTGATAAAGGAGGGATTCTGAAGGATTAATTTAAGTGTTAAACTGCCCAAATGCCAATCTGCACAGGACTCAGCAATCAAGGGATTTCAAAGCTATTTGACTGATTCCAATATATATACACATCATTCTTTACATTTACTTCATGATAATTAAGCTCACTGGATCCTACTTTTAGCAGCTTGAAAATTAGTTTCTGCTATTTTGTAGCAAAAAGGAGATACAATATTCTAACCTGATATATTTTCCTTATGCAGAACAAAATAATTTTAAATTCTTTGAGTTATTATTTGCTTATCATTACCAGCTGTTACTAGATCAACAACTGAGTTTTGTCTGTTTAAGTCATTACAATTATGTTGAACTTCAAGAAATTAGTTTCTGTATTTCAAATATTAGCATTTAACCTAATGTAGTTATGAAAAATCAGATTCCAAGATCCCAACTTGTTTTAAGTAGTTATAATTTTTTAAAATTCAAAAGGCTTATTTTCAAGACTCCAGCATCACTGTTAACAGTGATTAATTTAATGACTCAGATTTAAATATTTCCTTAAAAAACAAAAACAGATGAACACTTTAAATTACTTTACAGCATAATTTTACAGCTTCTTTCTGCCAATGGTGGCTGATAATGTGGTACCAATTTGAAATAATGTTTTTCAACTTTCTTTTAATAAACATCCAACAATAAAGATGTTTGTCCAGATACACTTTCTGTATTTTTTTATAATAAAATTTTTGGCCTTTCCATAATCTCCTAAAAATATTACTATCAAATGGAATTTTTTAATTAACCTATCATCCCATTTTCACATCAGGGAAGATCAGGGTACATTTCTCTCTGACACTAAGACTCACTGTTCCATCTCAAAAGATCATCTCTTTTTAAAAGTATATTTATCTATAAATAATGAGAACATACCGTTTTCATCATTAAGACCTAGTTGACCAAATTTGTTGCGTCCCCATCCAAAGATGGCTCCAGAAAGGGTAAGTACGAAACTATGGGCGCCTCCTGCTGCAACTTGCATGAAAGGGATTCCAAGTAAAGACTTAATCAGCTGTGGTGACGCTTGCTTTTTACAGTCAATGCCTAAACCCAACTGGCCATATTTATTCTGTCCCCAACAGAAGACTTCACTTGCTGTAAAAGAAAAATCATAAAATTAACTATTTTTCTCACACATACAAAATTTCATTTGAAGATCATCAGCTCGGGGGTATTATTCTCAGATGAAAATAACATGTACTCTTATTAAATTTATTTCTTATATGGAAACATAATACTACCTAGAATATTCTGTATTAGTAGACTTTTAGTTTGACTCACTTAACTGATTTACTGATGAGTAAGTCACATAACTGGAGGTAATCTCATTTCCTGATGCTCCTTAAGAAAGGACTGTTTCTTTTTAATATTCCTCATGTCTCATTTTTATTCTATGATTTCTCCCAAGAGACAATGATCCAAGCTCAAGGCTTCAGTTATCAATTATATGCTGATCACATTAAAAATATAGCTCTAGCCCAGATCTTTTCTCTGAGCAATAAACTCATGTATCCAATTGTTTATCTGACATTTATACTTGGATACTTCAGAGGCATCTCCAGCGCAGCATGCCTTCAACTCAATTCATAACCCCCATCCTATCTCCCATACCTGCACCTCTTCCTAGTGTCCCCCATTTTCAGTAAATGACATCTTAACTGATTCAGCAACACACGTCATAAGCCACAGACATAAGGAGTCGTCCTTCATACCCATCTCCTCTCTTACACACAGATTGTTATCAATCTATCTTCTATCACCAAGTTATATAGTTTTCTTTCTATAGAAAAATATGGCAAATAGATCCACTCCTCACCATTTCACCTGGTTCCTATAATAGTTCTCCCTACTTGCCACATTTGCACCCCTACTGGAACCATTTTTGCAACTTTAGACATCTTTTTACTTATTTTTCTTAATTAAATAGCACTAAACTAATAACTGACACATTGTAACTGATTTTTTAAAAATTCATACTATAAAATAGACAACTCTTAAAAGTTTCCCTCCAAATTAGACCCCTGGTTCCTCTCCCAAGAGACAACCACTTTTACCAACTGCTTCCAGAATACTCTAGGCACATACTAGCAGACTTCTGTATATACACAAAGATATAAAAAAGTAGATTTGACAAATGGCAGACACCATAATAATGGTCTGGATAAAGTTTCAAATTAACTGTTCTATAAATTTCGTATGTCTGTGTGTTTGTTTTATAATCTCAAATTAGTTGACCAAAAAATGTAGATTTGATAATGTTGCTCATCTGAAAAAAAGTATGTTAGTGCATTCTCACTGCTCTTGGGATACACAGTTTTAACAAGGCTTATAAGGCTCTGTATGATCTACCTATGTTTCTGAGCTCATTTCATATGAGTCTCTCCCCTCACTCACTGTACTCTAGCCATACACACCTTCCTTTACATTCTCCAATGCCCATTCTCACATACTTGCTGTTTCCTCTGCCTCAAAGTTACCCTCATCTTTGTCTTCTTGTAGGAAGCCTTCCCTGATCTCCCAGATTAAGTTCAGTCTCCCCATTATAGGATCTAAACTATCCTAACTTTTTTCTTTACAGTCCTTTCTCACAATATGTGATTATGTTGTTATTTGTGTGTCTGTACCAAAAAGGCTAGTAGTGTACTGTGTACCATCATTTACTGTACACCCTAATATGCCCAGTTCATGCTGAGTGATCCAAAAAAAAATTCCACTGAATAAATACGATACTGTTAAAACATGAAGCTGAATAAGGCAAAAGAATACCTTTAAGTATGGTAGAAAACTGTCCTCATTAGTAAAACCTTTGGGTTTAAATTTATCTTGGATTTACCTACCAAAGCATCAGAAGAGGAGGAGGCAAAGTAAAAACAAAGAATACAAGGATGCCAGCCTCATCCCCCTACTTCATTCCTTAGATGGAATAAATCCAAATTCCTTTATATGGCATATAAGGCCCTTTGTAACAAATCTTTTACTTCACCCTCAACTAAAGATGAGTATGTCTCCCGTGCTCTCACAATACCCACAAAAAACTATACACCAGTACTCAAATACACAAAATACTTCCTAATTCTACACTTTTACTAGTGTTATTACCTTAGCCAATCCTCAACATTTCCCCTAGCTACTTCACAACATGCCTCCAATTATCTTTCAAGACTTGCATTAGATGCCAATCCCTTCCTTACTGTTATCAGTCCTACTGAATGAAACTAATTACAATTTTTTCCTTATTCCCATAGCATTTTACTTTTTACCTTGACCAAAAGTAGTATGTATTTTTTTTTCACCTCAAGTGTATTATTTGTGTATCTGCCTCTTCCACTAGATGGCATGGTTCCTAAAACTGTTTCTCAACTTATTTGTATTTTTCCCCACAGCTCTAGTAGCGTTTTATTCTTAGTGGGCCTCACTGGACATTTAATAAATTAAAAGTATTAAAAATGATAATGAAGCCACTGGAACTTCTTTTCAATGATAAAAAACAAATAATATGCAGGTTCCTTACTAACTCGTTATAATCCTTAGCTAGCATATGAAAAAGTTAAATAAATAAGCAAACAAAGGTAACAGGATGCTTAGACGACTTCTGTATTTCTATTCATATAAAGTTTATCTATGAGATCAAATTAAATTAGGCAAGTTATAAACTTCCCCAGCTATGGCAGAATAGTGTTTAGCAGACTAAAGAACACTCAGACACCAAAATAAATTTCATGTTTATATACTAGCAATAAACAATTTGAAAAGGACACCATGCAGAATAACAAAAAATATCAAATATCTAGGGAAAAATCTAATAAAATTTGTGTAAGACCTCTCCACAGAAAATAAAATGCTACTGAGAAAAATTAAAAGGAAAGTATAATAAAGAGGGCTATTGAAAGACTCAATATTGTAAAAATTTTCCTCAAATTGACTTGAGAGACAAAGCAATCCCAATCAAAATCCCAATAATCTGAGTATCTGTGAAAACTGACAAGCTAATTCTAAAACGTATATGGAAATGAAAAGGATCAAGAAGAACCAAAACAATCTTTTAAGAACAAAGTTGGAGGAATTTCTGCTGAATTAAAGTATCAAGTAATAAAGCTGAAAAAGGGAAAGAAAATAAAAACAATGCTTACCTTTAGAAAGTGCAAGTGAATGATAGTAACCACAAGCAACCTGTACTATCTGGATATCTGACAAACTTTTAATATTTCTAGAAAAATAAGAAGAGAGATCAGGATTAGTTAATTCCATTTAATAAACGGATCCCTGAATGCTATTTATTTACAGTATTTACTGACTATCTATTATGTGCAAGTAGTTTCCTTACCAGCAAGCAGTTCCTTACTAGCATGATGTAGCAGTTTATGCTGTTTTTTTTCATACAAGCCCAATTTACCAAAAATTTATGCTAAAATCAATAAACAAAATCTAGATATGAAAAAAAAATCAACAGATGTGATGAGAAAACACTTTTGAGAGGACAGTATTTCAGCACAGTAAACTACATTCACACCTCAGTGCCTTCATAATGCATGTTTTATTATCAAAATTTAAAAAATCTTTAGCTTAAAATGTGTGAAACTTGGCAATATATTTGTAAAACAAATGCACATGATCTAACTTGTCTAAAAAGGATGTTTGGCCTAGTTACGTGTATGTTCTCCTCTATTGGGTTCCTTAAGAATCAACAGGGATTCCTATCATCTAGTGCTCAGAATTCACAAATTATGAAACTTACTCCCTTTGGACTATCCTTTTGCTTTACATGTAAATCAGTGATATTCAACTTAATTCTTTACTAGGGAAATTTAATCAATTCACATCTATTACGATCACTGATGTGTTCAGTCATATTTCTGTCATTTTGTGTTTCTTCTTTATGTTTTCATATTTTCTTTTTTCCCCCCAATCTCTGACTTTTCCTTAACTGCACTCTAACTGTAAAGGTTAATTGCTAAAACACTACAAAAATCAATGTAACTCTGTGCATCAATCATCCGAGGTTTTCTTTATGTAGTTCCCCTTCACCTGGTCGTTCTACTATTTTTCCTGAATGAATGTCTTTAAGAAAAAAAGAAGGGGAGAAAATATAATATGTTTCTTATTTCCCTTTACCTGATACTGCCACCTGACCTGATTCTGCCATATTAGAGTCCGGAGCAAGTTCTGACCAGAGTGTCGATACCCATGATTTTCAGGAGGCAGCTTCAGCAAATCAAATTTTGAGCAGGAGAAAGGACAGTTACTCTAATTCCATATTGTTGTATTAGAAAGACTTTTATTTAATGGATTTATGTTCTTAACTACAAAACTTGAAAGTTGTACTGCTACAATTTAGCAGAATCCAACAGGTTAGCAGGATTCAAAGCACCTTCAGATTTTCAAATATAGCAAAATGTCTTTTTTTCTTGCAGTTAGCAAACCCAAACACCGGCAATGTAAAAACAGGAATAAAAAAATACATGGATATGTACAACTGTGCTGAAGTTACTCAACATTTACTGTTACTGCTTATGTATATTAGGCACATCATACATTGACTAGTGAACTTTATTAAATATTTTTAAAACACCAACGGCTCCAAGTATGAAGTCCAACTTGCAGGACCAAGTAAAACTTTTCAAAATACTACATTTTCATAGCACCTTGTTTTCTCCTTCACAGCATCTGTCTCCATTAATTACCGGCGTACTTATTAATTAAATTATTACTATTATATTTTGCTAAACAATAAGCTCTGTGAAGGCATATTATTATCTTATACTCATGGAATCCCTAGCACCTACCATAGTGCCTGGCAAAAAGTATGTTAAAAAACAAAAACAAAAACAAAAACAAAACTATGTAAAGCATCCACTGTTAGAAGTGAATCTATAATGTCCTTGAGGCTTTAGCATTAAAGTTTGCCCAAAAAACTTCTAAATTTGCATAGCAATTTAAACTCAGTGACTCCCAATACCAAAATATTATCAAAAAGCTTGGAATATAACATAAATGCTAACTTCTTTAGCCATATCTGCTACAGAGACAAGGAAAGATATTCTTCTGTGGCATTACTGTTTTAAACAAACAAACAAAATCTCCCTTCATCTCTTTCCAGATTTAATACACTGAAGATTGCTGGGGGTGGGGAAGAGGAAAGGATATGTTTTCTTGTTTTTTTTTTTTTTAAGCTTTCAGGAATAAAACAGAAAAAGAAAGAAAAATATTGTGAATGGTAAAACTTAATTTTACCATGTTCCATTCTTCTTAAAGAGGTAACAAATTAGAAAATTCTTAATAAAACTGAATTTTATAGAATTCATCAAAAATAATCCCCACTAAGTAAAAAAGATAATGTACATCTTTATTGGCCTTTAATTTTTAAAAGGATTCAAATGTGATTAACAGGAAAAGTAAAATAAGTCAGAATAAATTTTGTAAATAAAAAGTATATATTTACATGTATATATGCTCTACATAAAGATTCCTAATTAATCAGAACTATGAAAAGAAAATCAAAATTCACATGTCTAGGGTAAATATTTCATAACTGTTTATCAATTTAAAATAACTCCCTAAGGTTTAGAATATGTCAAACATTTTTACATGGCTATGACATCACTAAAATTATTCACTGTAAAGAACAAAATAATTACTGAATTTTGGAAGATGTTTGAGATTTCTAAGAAAATATAACAAACTTGGAAATAAAATTTATACACCCTTCTTTGCAAAGTCTTAACTTAAAAATCAAAACATAAATTGTTAAACAGATGTACTGTGGTACTGTTACATTTTTTCCAACTTAATGTATGGTGGCAATATAGGCAGAAACCAGGCATTTGCAATTGTCTATGAACATAAAATTGTAACAACTATTAATAACGACTCGTGAAAAGTTTACATTATATAACTAAGAATTTGAAGAACTAAAGTATTAAATATTTTGCCAATACCAAACTCATCATGGCATATACATTTTGTAAGTACAGGTTTCTATATGCCAATCATACCTCAATAAAGTGGTTTTAAAAATATATTTTGCCAGTAAAACATAATCAACAAATTTCCATTTCCCAATTAAGCCACAACTTTCTTAGTGATTTGAGAAAAGTCTTAGTACCAACTCTTCCATTTTGAAAAATTTAGGCTAACAACGCGTCTAGTCTCTACCATTAAGAAATATTCTTTAACTTTCTTTTTAATTTAAAATGTTTGGAACTTTCAGATGCCAATGCTATGCAGCTAATTGTAATATACTTTTAAAACTGATTAAACCAAGAAAATCAATTTTATTTTTCACCAGGCTGACAATTCATACATTTTTAATTAAGTTTCTATAGTCCAAAAATAGCTGTTCTCACAAGGATAATCATATTATACCATCCTGTCATAATTTCTTATTACAAATGCCCAAAAACAGAACTTTAAAAAATAAACTACAACTTTATTTCCAACAGTTATTCTTCTTACATTAAATTAAAAGACAGTAAAATTAGGATTAACTTTTTTTAAGGATTAACTTTTTTAAAAAAAGTGTAATACACACCAGAAACTGACACATTGTAACTGACTATACTTCAATAAAAAAGATACATGTCCCTAAACAAATAAAATTAATTAATTAAATTAAGGCATAACATATCCTACATAAAAAGAAATGACTAACCAGAAATGCAGGTCTACAGAGACCACTGATACTGAATAATCTGTCTTTCCCCAAGAAGTAATGATTTCAAAACAAAACAAAATTAGAAACAGGAAGAGATTATCAAATAGTAAGAGCTTCAAATATAAGCTATTCATTATTAATTTTACATTCATCTTTAATTTTAAAGTGTCACCTAATTTACATACTGTCATCTATTGGCATAAAAATGGGTTTTATTTTCAAGAAAGTACAGTCAAATGTGAATCCTCACTTCCCCGATCACCCTTATGAAAATCATAAATGCTAATTTTAAAAAATATATTCACATGTTATCTCAGTGTCCTATCTTCTATACAGGTTTTATTAAAAATGTATGTGAAAATTACAAAGCTGGCTGACATCTCTAAGCATCTAGAAAACACTCTGCATCTAAAAAAATGATTTGGTACTGAAATTTTAAAGGGCAAAAAAATCACTAATAGTCTTTCCTAAAAATCTATTTCTACTGAAATACTAAATAGTCTTTTAAGAAATGAAAATGTCAGTAAAAACGATATGTATGTCACAATAAAACAGATCAGTTCAAGAAAAACCAAGAACGCTGAACAGGAAAAAATGCCCTACTACACACCTTAGAGTTAAGACAGATGCTCAATAAATACATAAATAGAGAAGTTTAAACCAAAGAACTCAGTTAAGATCTCTTTCAGGTCCCCATCTAAGTTCACAGAACAGTAGTCACAAATACATAACTGGGCAACCTTCAAATAAATTGTCATATAATAAAAGTTTCTCCTTATAGTAACTTTCTTTCCATTTATTAATCATCTATGGATTCCTGACTAAAATCTCTTACACCAGAACTGTACAGCAAAAAAAAAAAATTGTAAGCATAAGAATTAAGAGAATAAAGTGGAGTAAAAATAAGGGAAACTAACAAGTTTTGCCATGAATCATGGTTTTGAGAATATCGTCTTAGAAAACCTAACAAGTAAGTCCCTTTTCAATCCTTAAACACAAAATTCTTAAAATCTTAAATAAAATCCCATTCTACAACAATATACTTAGCTTAAGGAAAAAATTTTTTCTCACAACAGCATCACAGTAACAGACATAAAAAGCATAATGGGAAGTGTGTTTGTTACTTGTTATTGCAGAAGAAACAAAGAAGAAGGAATTTGTAGAATTTGGTTACAAGCTCTATTTAAAAACATGTGAATGTGATGATGTATCCAAAAATCTCGACAGTTCATTACTAGAACAAATATAAAAGGTCAAACTGAAGATGAAATAAACTTTCAATATGTTAAAACAAAGCAAATACTATACATGTATACTTTAAGCTTTTAAATAAACATATACATATGATGGAAGGTTATGGGCTTACTGAAGGAACTAGCTGCCTTTCTTCGTTAACTCATTTCTAACAATGGTAAGAGTTCCTGTTCTAAAATATATTAGTTCCCGTGCTCCAATTTGTTATCCTGGTTGTTATTTTTTAAACCAAAACAAACACTATCTACATTAAGTTAAAAACAAAATATCTAAATGTGTATTAAAAAAAGGCTACCTGAGACAAATCTAAAATTAGTTTAATACCTCAGTTCCCTGGAGAGTTCTCTTTTGTCCCTAAAACTATTACTACAAAGAAAAAACAAGAGTTTAAGGAGGCAAGAATTTATATAATTTTAAACTTGAAGCATGAATTAGTGTATTAATTATGTATATAAAAGAAATTGGATACTCTTCTTTAAATCTTTATATTTTTACCTAGATATGTTCATGCTCTTAGAGTTATTAATATTAAAGCAACGGCTGTCCCCTATGTAAATCTGTACGACTACAACATTGATGAGTCATTGTTTATTTTAAATTTGAAAACATTCTATGACAGATTTGTGGTTAGCATAAATTAAATTGTGGTCACTACTATGTAAAAATGTGGAAAATGAATTCTTTTTATGCTTTAAACATGTGGGACTTCTATATTCAATAAAAATAAACACTGAAAAAAAGATACATGCAACCAACTAATATTTAATAAATATTTCAATAGCTGAGGTACTCAAGATAGTAGAATTAATGGTTTAAATCAGTCTAGCCCACCTAAAAATCCTATTAAGAGAAAATTTATAATAAAGTATATATTCCCCATCCTTTTTCTTTACAAACAGAAATGACTTGGGGAAAATACGGAGTATACAAAATATAGCACTCAATCCAAATTAAAGGCAAGAACCTACCTAGTAAATGCCTTAAGAACTCAGAGGGGAGAAGTAATTAGGTGTCAACTCTTAAATGCCCACAGTAAGCAAAATAATTTAGATAACAAATTTATTATAAAAGATTGTTAAAGACCTCTTGTTGGTCACCTTTGTTACCTGGGTACTCTGATACATTCCTCTGATCCTAGCAGGCCAAGCTGTCCATCAGAATCGAGACCCCAAGCATACACCTGGCCCTTGTCATTTAGTGCTAATGTATGAGCTTCTCCACATGAAACAGCTACGATATTTTGGGCATCCAGGGCAACAACCTGCTCTACAGAAATCAAGAAGAGACACATTACATTCTAATTTTAAACTCCCAATAAGAATAAAATACAGTGTTTATCTTGTACAAAAAAGCTAAGGAAATGCTGAAATACAGACTAAGTGTAACTTCAGTTATTCTGAAAAACCTAACAAATACGTTCCACACAAAATTCTCAATGTGGTAAATGCAGAAATATATCATAGGGCATAATCAATTCAGAAAATTAGGTGAATTGAACATTTTGGGGAAGAAGTAAACGGTTCACAAGGATTCTCTCAGAAAGTGCTCTTCATCTGAAGCCATTACCAATAAAAAGAACAGAGTCCAGCTGAAAGGGAATCATTTAAATAATTTGGCTTGTTTGTTTTTTAACAATAAGATCATAACTGACACATACATTACCATATGAATACTACTATGGAGTGATCCTGAAATTAATGAAATAATCTGAATTAGCAATTTCTGACAGGAAACAATTCTTTACAGATCTCATAAATAAATATCTACTGGATATGCTGAGAGAATTGAAAGGCAATGTGACCGTAACAAATAGGTTTCAGCTTACAGGCTGCCATTTTAACACTGAAGATATAAAACCTTCATATGTGATTAAAACATGTTCAAGCTTTAAGTCAGTAATTAAAATAATGGCTCTTCAGAAGACTGTCAGCAGCCACTGACAAATCAATAAAGAAAGTGAAACTGTCTCCTTAGTATCTTTAAGATCTGCATTGTCTATCAGTTTTTTTAATAGTACCACAAGTTCTTTTAAAACACCATTTAAAGTTAACTTTTTAATCTAATAAGAAAGCTATGTCTTCAATAAACTGAAAGTCTATTGTTGCAGAGACATTAAAATTGAATCAATCAGGGTTTCTTCAGAAGCACATTTTAGCTAATGTACAAGTGCAGCTATTCAATAATGAAACAGATTATATCAAGGAGGTTTAAATCCCTATATATAAATTCAGATTATATCTTAATTACTTATTCTGCATTTTAGGGTGGGAGGTTAGCCCTTAGACAGCCTCCAGGAATTTGCTCAAATGATACATTATCTTAAGCACTTACCTTAGAGTACTATGAGTTAATAATTTGTGAAGCTGATGAACAGTACATGGAAGTTCATTATACTCATCTCTCACTTTTTGTGCATATTTTTTGCATGTGTTTTTATAAAAGTATATTGCAGTAACGCACAAAACCAAAAATATATAACATACTGCACCCCCCCCAAAAAAAAAGGACTTAGAAGTATGGCATCATTTATTTACATCAAAATATTCCCATAAATCTTAATTATGAAGACAGAAGTAAAATGCACAAATCTGTTATCCTTCACAAAGCCCCTGAAACGAGTCAATGTTTCTCGAAAATAATCTTCATGGGAAATATAGTAAAGAGCAGAAAATGACAGGATGACAAGAAGAATGAGTAAGACTGGTTGGTTCAACAACAACATATGAAGAGTACTTAAATTAGACAGCAATGGCTATAAAATCAAAGGCACTAAAAATCAAAGAAACAAAGAAGAAATAATCATTCATACCAAACACTAATATTTACTGTAAACTTCTTGTGCTCTAAGCACTAGACACACAGATAAATAAAAGAGTTTTCATCTTCAAGGAGTTTACTGTCTATAGAAAAACAAGTGAGACAGGGATTGTGATTAAATGCTAAGATCAACAAAAGGCATCACGGGAACATAAGATACTTATTAAAGCCTTTAAAGATAATAGGAAGAATTCTGGAAGACAGTGACACTTAAGTAGCTGAGGAAAAAGGAAGAGATTCCATGTATACATCTGAGAAACTTCAAATTATTTTCTCAAATACAGCAAAACAAACTAAAAGCAAAGTGAAAAGACTGATTTTTAAAAAGCAGAGGAAAATGTTATTGACCTGTCAAACAAAGAAACAGCCTCCCTAATATTTAAAACTGGGAGGGGGGGAAGAGCAGTAATTCAGTGAAAAATAAGCAAAAGATGTGAACTGATAGTTCACAAAAAAAGAAACAGAAATGGCCCTTAATCCTATGAAAAGACACTCAACTTCGCTGATAAGAGAAATGAAAATTCAATCTACACCAGGAAGCCAATTATACATTCTCTTAGAAAATTAATAAAGCCACACACTGTTTTTTAAAATTAGAAGTACTGAGGATTGACCCAAAACCTTGCTTATGCTAAGCATGCACCCTACCAGACTTAAACCCACCCCTCAAGACATATACTTTGAACTGGTGCACATTTCTATAGGGTTAACCTTCAATTATAAAAGTTAACATTTATCAGAAGAATGAGAAGATAAGCCACTGACTCGGAGAAAATATTCACAAAAGACACAACTAATAAAGGATTGCTACCCAAAATATTTTTTAAAATTTCTTAAAACCCAACAGTAAGAAAATAAATAACCCAATCTTGTCAACATGGCAGAGAAGGATCTTGAGTTCACCTCCTCTCATGAATACAACAAAACCACAGCTGACTGCTGAACAACCATCAATAAAAACAGACTGAAACCAGGGGGAAGATATAGCTCCAATGGCAGAGTGCATAACATGTACTACGCCCTGGGTTCAACACCCCCTACCTCCTCTAAAAATAAACAAACAAATCTAATAATCTACTCCCCACCCCACAAAGAAACAAAAACAAAAACAAAAGACTGGAACCTACCAAAAAAAACCATCTTCTACAACTAGAAACATAAAGAGGGAACCACAGCAGAACAGCAAGAGGGGAGCACTTGCATATTCCAGTCCCATAACCCCCAGTGGGTGATCCAAAAGCTGGAGAATAACCAAATTGCGGGGTTCTCCTACAGGAGTGAGTTCTGAGCCCCTTGTCAGGCACCCCAGCCCTGAGGGTCCAGCATTGGGAGAAGCCACCAGAATGTATAGCTTTGAAGGCTAGTGAGGCTTAATTGCAGGAGCTTCATAGGACTGGAGCAGAGACTTCACTCTTAAAGAGTGCACACAAAATCTCACATACACGGGGACCAAGGGTTGACCGAAGCAATATTTTCACAGGAATGTGGGTCAAACCTGTCTGTTGGTCTTGGAGGTTTCAGGGGGTGGGTGGGAGGGCAGTGTAGCTGTGGCTTACCCTTTGAACATAAAAGCTGGTGGTGACAGAAGGAAGGGGGATATTCGTCTGCATAAACTCACCTGGAGGCTGACATCTTGCTTGGGGCATGAGCACCAACACCTGGCCCCACCCAACAGCCTGTAGGCTTAAGTGCCAAATAACTAACAGGGTGGGAACACAGATCCATCCATCAGCAGACAGGCTATCTTAAGACTTTCTGAGCCCACAGCCCCCTCTAAGCACACCCCCAGGCATGGGTCTGTCCACCAGAGAGCCAGACCCAGCTCCACCCATCAGTGGGCAGGCATCAGCCCCTCCTACCAGGAAGTATGCAGGAGCCTCTAGACTAGCCTCACCCACCAGGGGGCAGACACCAGAAGCAAGAAATCTATGACCCCATAGCCTTAGGAACCAAATTTACAAATACAGCCCAGACCCCTACCTGGGACCAGTCAGCTCCTGGCCCATGGGTAACAAGAGGGGAGTGTACAGCTGGGATACTTAGGATGCCCCCTACAAAGGGCGACTTTTCCCAGGTCAAGAAATCTAACTAACCCACCACATAATAAATATACAAACAGAAATTCAGACAAAATGAAGTAGCAGGGAGATATATTCCAAAAGAACAAGGTACAACCCCAGAAATATTAAGTAATGAAGAGACAGGCAATCTACCCAAGAAAGAGTTCAGATTAATGATCATGAACGAAAAGAATGGATGCACAGAACGAGAAGTTATAAGCTTTTAACAAAGAGTTAAAAAATATAAAAAATAATCAAACAGTTGAAGACTATAATAAATGAAATGAAAGATACACTCAAAGGAATCAATAGTAGAATAAACGAGGCAGAAGAATGGATCAGAGAGCTTGAACACAGACTAGTGGAAATCACTGCCATATAACAGAAAAAAGAATGAAAAGAAGGAAGAGACCTCTGGGAAAATATTAAGCAAACTAACATTCACATTACACAGGTTCCAGAAGGAGAAGAGAGAGAGAAAGGGCCTGAGAAGATATTTGAAGAGACAATAACTGAAATCTTCCCTACCATAGGAAAGGAAATAGTCACCCAAGTCCAGGAAGCACAGAGATTCCCATACAGTATTATTCCAAAGAGGAGCACACTGAGACCCATGGTAATCAAACTAACAAAAAAATTAAAGATAAAGAGAAAATACTAAAAGCAACAAGAGAAAAGCAACAAATAACATACACAGGAACTCCCATAACATTATCATCTGATTTTTCAGCAGAAACTCTCCAGGTCAGAGGGAAGTAACATGATATATTTAAAGTGATGAAAGAGAAAAAACCTACAACCAAGAATACTCTACCCAGCAAGGCTTCATTCAGATTTGATGGAGAAATCAAAAGCTTTACAAACAAGCAAAAGCTAAAAGAATTAGGCACCACCAAACCAGCTTTACAACAAATGCTAAAGGAACTTCTTTAGGTGGAAAAGAAAAGACCACAATTAGAAACAAGAAAATTACAAAACAGAAAAGCTCACCGGTATAGGCAATCATACAGTAAAGGTAGGAAGTCATCTACACACAAACTAATAGGAAAGTTAAAAGACAAAAGTAGTAAAATCATCTGTATCCACAATAAGCAGTTAAAGGATACACAAAACAATTAGCTGTAAAATACGATATCAATATCAGTAATCATGAGGGGAGTATGAATGCAAGGTATTTAAAGTGCATCTGGTATACAAAATAAACAAGTTTCTTCCCTGTAGCACAGGGAAAATATATTCAATATCATGTAGTAACCTATAACAAAAAAGAACATGAAAACAAACATATGTACATACATGTATGACTGAAACAATATGCTCCACACCAGAAACTGATATAACAGTGTAAATTGACTATATTTAAATAAAGAAATAAAATGCATTTGAAAT